GTTCAAGTGGATTTCAGTATCGTATTGCCAATATCTGTGGAGCACGAACTACATCCCAGCCCCGACGATACACCAGGAGTTTCTCAATGTCAATACGTACTGTAACAGGGGAAGGAGACACATAGCTAAAAATGTCACAACCTCCAACTTCCTGCCTAAGAAAAATTATAAATCTAATAACGTTACTTTTCAATTAACTTAGCTTAGTCCATTTAACTAATTTACACTATGTCGTTAGTCCGTACTGAGTCTAGTTGTTTGACTCGCTGAGAAATTCATCCACATCGCGATCATCAATTTCAACGTTTTCGTCGTTCACGGCGATCTGGCGTTTCTCCATCTCCTCCTTCACGAAGCGGTCGGCCTCCTCTTCGAGTATGTTGTCCAGCTCTGCCTCCTCATCAACCGACGATAGCGGCTCGTCCACACGTTGGCGGACATCACGCTGGTGGAGCAGCTCCGTGGGACGCTGACGACGCACACCGGTCAAATTTGTAGTAGTCTGCTGCGAAGAAGGCTCCTGTTCCGGCTCCGCAGTAGCTGACACCGCTGCAGTCGCGGGCGTTGGTGTTGTCTGGGTCGAGGCCTCCGTCGACGTGTTATTTGCCTGTTTTGGCAGCTCGTATCTGCAAGTGGGGCACACGTTGTGCTCCACAAGCCACGTCATACCACAGTCCTTGTGAAAGGTGTGACCGCAAGGCAGAGAAATGACTTTCTCGTCTTTCTCGTAGTCGCTTAGACAGATGACGCATTCCGTGTGCTTCTCGGTCTTCTGCATGTCCTGAGTCCAGATCTTCACTGGTAGTTTGTCGAGGAACGGCTTGCTAGTCGGAGGCGGGCCGTGCTCCTGTGCCTGTGCGCGCTGGAACAGCTCATTAAGCACATTGAGGAAGCCGTCATTGCCGTTGCCGTTGGCGCCACCGTTGCCGGGCATTGACCCGAACAACGGAGTGCCATTCAGCATTGACTGCAGGTATTGCGCTGGGGACGGCGTGAACGCCATCTGCATACCGTTGTTGAACTGCATCCAAACCGTGGGCGGCGGTGGAACGAAGAAGACGAAGTTGGCGTGCGGCTGACCTTGTGCATGTTGCGTGGCCGTCGGTCCGCTTGGAGCGTTGCCATTGCTTGTGCTCATCGTTATCGTTGGCTTTTTCTCTTGTGTACACTTGGTTCACTTGCTTTTGTTGCAGAAAATTGTAGAGTGGCAACAGCAACAGTGAGAACAGCGTTTGATGATCACGGCAACTGGGGTATGCGAAAAAGGCCAATTTTTTGTGGCGGATTTTCAGGACGTTGATTGGTGGAAAGAAGTTCAAGGACGATCTGTGATTGGTTCAGCGCTGGATATTCTGATCGAATATTCTATTCTTAGCTTCGAGAAGGATGCCGAAATGTGAACAAAGAGCAGCATACTTACGTCAACAACAATGCGTGTGTGCTGCCCGTCGAATGTTCACGAACGTGTTGGCTTTGGTTAGGCTTCACTTGATCAGGGATCGAGGTCTCTGGCACGGAGTCTGCCGCATGTAGGACGTTGACGAGAATGCGAAGATTTCTCCAATCGCAATGTGTCAACTCAAGCAGGGCACTGGCAGTGTCACACTGCAGCACCGTCTTAGTCCATGACTAAACACAACGCAATTAGCAACACATTCAACGGCTAGTAGTATGTGTATCAGCCATTTATTAGTTATTTTATCTGCATTGCGTCGCCAACCACGTCGCCCACCCGCTAGAAAACATGGATATCGCACTTAAGAGACCACGTTGAAGTTCCGAGCGACTCGAACAGTTAGACGAAAACCATGGAGGTTATTGGTGTGGGGATCGCAGTCATCGACGTGATACATGACGTGGCGGCGTACCCGGAAGGTAGATCCTGCTTGTAGCAGTATGTGATCCATATACAAGAGCGGTTCTAACGCTATATGTTGGCGGTGACGTTGCATGGAGATCAGAAGACTCGAAGGTTATCAAAAAAAAAAACCAAATGGCTGTCTTTATCGTTATTGTAAATGCTTCTGATACCATTTAGATCCGGTCGTTGGCGAGTCGTAAGTGCAGAGGGGGGAACGTCGCAAATGCGCTGGTTGTGTGCTCACAACTAGGAGGTCGATGCCGCTGGCTGGGCGTGTCGACAGACCCCGATAAGGACAGTGATGCAGCGTTTGTCCACAATGACCTCGCTGCTTTCGGTGTGGATTGCTCGCTTGCGAGCATTGAGCCTCAAGGGAGCATGCCAATTTCGGTGCGTCTGACTCGTCGAGGATTGTCGAGCGTAAGTCTTATGTTACTTGTGACTGTCAGTACATCCTTTCAAGTCGTTCGACGGGATCCCGTACCATTGTCCACTCTCGAAACCTAGTCGAGCTGAGCGACGAGGCGTTTGTGAAGCAATTAACGCTGTATCGCGAAGAAATTCAAGAGGATGCAAGCAAACCGGTATGGTTTCATTTCGAGGGCAGAAACTTGGATGCAACGGAGAAGATGATGCTTCATGTACGCAAAGAGATGCCTGCGGCGCCAATCTCCGTTGAGATTGAAGCACTGCGCAATGACTGGGACTCAGCAATGAAGTAAGTCGATCGTTGAGGAAGATTGCTTAGGTAGCACCATCTAACTACACCTCTTCAGGCTCATTTCGCTGGCGGATTACACATTCATTTCCAAGGACTATATCCGTGAAAAGCTTGCCTTTCAAAGTGCAGAACAATTTCTCGAGGCTGTAATGATGAAGAAATGGGGTACCGAGCTGATACACCATGCTAAAGCACTCATCTGCCCATGGGGAGCCGAAGGTGTCTACTTTCTGGATGTGCCAGAGTCGGCGACGCATCACTTACCCACTCCTCATCTTGACAACGTGGTTGAGACGATCGGGGCAGGTGATTCTTTCATCGGAGCGAGCCTCGCTGGATTATCGTGCGGAAAGGTACCGCTGGAAGAAGTGTTGAAGACGGCGTGTGAAGTGGCAAGTGCTAAATGCTTGAAACAAGGTTTCATCTTGTCTTTGGAAGAACAAACAAAATGGCAAAAGAAATTCAACTGTGGAAAAGGAGGTGTTGGCGCAAACGCAGCTTAAGGACAAACTATTTGGCAACAAATGAACAGGAGGAGTTTTTCACGCTAAGCTGTTTAACAACTCGTGGTTATACCCTGTGGGTTTTATCTCTTCCGAACAACTAACAATACCGGTACAAGTACATGACGAGATTTCTTTTCAACATGCTATACACGGACTGGATAATGCTCGGTGTTCGTGTCGCTGGACGCTATAGATGAGCCGGAGGTGGGCGAAGTCGTCCCTGAGTGATGCGCCTCTGCATCGCTGTCTCCACTGCCTTGGTCGCTAGTCGTTTTGTCCGTTCGCTTCCCAACATTCTTGAGTCGACGTGCCAGCGCGAGCGCAGGACTTTCATGCACCATGCCGATTGTATCTGGGGTCGTCAGTGGACGCATCTGGTGGTCCGCTCCGATCATATCGGACAGGAGATCGATGAACTCGTCAGCGCGACAGTCAGGAGGCTGCATCTTGCTGATAGGCCAGTCATGCAGACGCATCTTGCCTTTCACGCCACAGGGCTCCACTGTTACGTCAATACGTCTCCACGGCAGTATCTGCTGCAAATGACACAACATTTGGTGCGGGAACTCGACCTCCTGCTTGTTGTCGCAGTCGAATCCTTCAATACTGGGATGTCTCGGGTCACAGCTCGCATCAAGCCCCAGTTCTTCCTCCTCGATTTCAATCGATGTATCGATCTTCGAGTTGAGTTTCTCCAAGAATGCGGCGTACCCTAGGTGAGTGTGACCACAAGTATCACCTTCCTTGAAGCCAGAGTGACGGATGTGCCATCGCCAATCCATATAGCGCTCCGTTAAGAACGTGCTAACGTAGGGACTATGACTGCGAATGGAAGCGGAAGGGTATGGCACAACGACGTCACCATCGGTCATGGCTACCAGTGTTCCATTGCGGAAGCGTCTGAGCGAGCGGACGAACTCCGAGTCGGGGTCGCTCATAACTTCAAGCAGAGGACGAGGTGGCACCACAGTGTCTGCATCTGTAACCCCTTCTTGTTGCTGTTCTTGTGCTAGATCGTTACCAGGTTACAAGTTAGTGTGGGTCGACAATACGAACCATTGCGATAAGACAACTCACCATCAAGCAGAAGATCAATGCCTGTCTGTCCGTATATCGACGACGCCAAGACCTTATGCACTCCAAGTCGAAGGATATTCTACACCAAACATCAACATCAATGCAGCGTTAGTCGATCGCTTCATCGTATAATGCATTAAGAGCAACAAACCTTCATGGTGGACGGTCCTCTGGCCCTCCTCGAGCCCAAATGGGGCGTGCAAATGGTGACAAAGTCGACGTATTCCACGTGTAGACAGCCCAGCGCGTCCATGATCTGGACGAGCGCGTATCTCGCATACAGCCCGCCCAATGAATGCCCGATCATCGAAAACTTGTAGCTGGTTACAGCTGGGCTCAGGTCGTACTCGAACACTGCCTCCACGACCTCCTTGGCGAGTCTAGTTCCGCCAATCTCCACACCCAGCGACGTGTCTTGCGCATTGGCTTTCGATTTAATGATGATCACTTGGCGATTGCCATACTTGGATAGCACCGCGGTCTCCACGGCGTCAAAGTCAGCGGCCGAGCCGTTGTTGCCGTGTACGAGTACGACAATATGCTGCGGCAAGTACACGGAGCGAGCGCCGGTGCGTAGCGACTCAGTGGTGGCCATAGCGAGCTGCGCCTGTGTGGTGGATGCTCTGGGCTTGCCGCGACGCGTCTGCGGGGCTTTGGGGCGTTTCTTGGCGGCGCCGGTGCGGTGGTTTGGCATGCACAAACCTAAAATTATGGCGGTAGATTAGCATATCGTAAGGAGAAGACACGGCGAATGCGTTTTACCTCCAGAACGCGGATCAATGGGCGGAAGTCCTCCTATGCCCAACCAAAATCTGGAACTGATGAAGCAGAGAGGACTCGAGTAATTGCAGGCGTGGCGTCGTCTTGGACAGCGCCACGGGATATTCGCGATTACGCTCGCACTCTATGCGCCGGTTTTTGCGTAGTTGGCGGTCAGCGTTGAATTAGGATAAAACGTCGAGTTATTGGGCTAATTTCTGGAAGTTAGAGTCAGAGATACGGAGCTTGTCACAGCGGTGGAGGTTGTGCTCAATTCGAACAAGTGAAATCAACAGCTTTGGTAATCTTTCGCTCATGTTGCCCATGCATCGGCATGCTTCGCACAGCTTTAAGCCTCATATCCACAACGACTAGCGCAGTAGATCTCTCACTACAACAACCTCATGCCGTGCGCAAGCCATCCGATGAATGCACTGGTTCAATCGCGTGGAGACATTTTAGCTTATACTGATGGTGACAATTTAGTAGAGGTGATAACGTTGGGTGAATGAATGGCTGATCAACGGAGAGGCTGGCAAATGTGCGTAGGCGTGGAATTCTTCCAGGGTGAGTGAGGTCGTGTCGCAGCTACAGTAGAACGCACTACGGGCGTGAGAAGCAAATTTGACGGCAAAGAAATGCCCGTACGATACTGCAGTACGAGAAATGAAATTTGCCACGTTAAACGCGCTCGAATCCTACTCATGTGATGTCGGTAGGGCATGCTAGGCTACACGTATATCGTGGATTAATGTTTGCTTCAATCTTTCTGGGCTGCTCAATCTTCAACAGCATTACAAACTTGTATCTTATGGATGGATAGTGTTCGAGGGCTAGAGCGTGAACTGAAACTCATGTATAGTTTCATCGCAGCGCTTGTGCTAGTGATAGCAGTAGGAAATGACACTGCCCGGCAAAAGAGTAAGGACTTACAGCACGACTTTAGATGGTGGCACGCAATAAATTAGCAACTGATTAATTCACAGCTTCCTCGCTCTCCTGCAATACTGTATGCTTTTCTTTGACCTGTCTTCTCGATGTGAGCCAAGCTACGCCCACACCAAGCGCCAATTTGCCTCAACGAGCATATCGGTGAGCATGGCGGCGACAAGACTGTTGCTTTACTGTGCCATCTTAGGCCGATGCGGTCTGCTTGCGCTTGTAGTCCGAGATAGCGGCCTTGATGGCGTCCTCTGCCAGCATGCTGCAGTGCAGCTTGACGGGCGGCAGTTTCAGGTGCGATGCGATGTCCGTGTTTTTGATCTTGAGGCAATCCTCCACCGACTTGCCCTTGAGCCACTCGGTGGCCACCGACGAAGACGCGATGGCCGAGCCACAACCAAAAGTCTTGAACTTAGAGTCCACAATCGTTCCGTTCTCATCCACCTGGATCTGCAGCTTCATCACATCGCCGCAAGCAGGGGCGCCCACGAGACCAGTGCCGACGTCCTTGGCGTTCTTGTCCATGGCACCAACGTTGCGCGGGTTCTCGTAGTGATCAATCACGTTCTCGTGGTACATGCGGGACTGTCCGAAGGCAGGGGCAGCCACATTGGCGGCCGGGCGGGAAAACACGCCCAGGGAGCGCTTGAGAGCAGTGCGAGCGATCATATTAGCAGCTTCGAGACTTCTTCGCTTCCGTTGCAAAATGACTCAACGGCTGAGCGGAATCGTTCATGAAATACGAAACGATGATTGGTGAAAATATTGTTAACCAATCAGTGGTGTCGACCGTTTAACAAGCAGGAATGAATGTTTTAGAGAGTCAACACCACCAGAAGCTTCCTCTAACGTTGTCCCCGCTACTTCACTCCAAGGTCCGTGTCTAACCTGTATGCGAGCAGCCTGTCAGCGAGGCCCTCGTGCACAAGGGAGGATATGTGAAGCTTCATGACGATATAATCGATGCAATGCGTTTTCTTGGCTGTCGTAGGCTCCTACTCTCACGATCAACTTCGGGTGTGGATGGTTACGACACGCTCAAAGTTTTATTAGCTGAAGGCACGTGTCTGGCTGATGCAGCTCGGCTGGGGCAGCCGCTGGTATGGATAGCAGTCCCAGGCACTTGGCCTACATGATGTGTGGCCTTCTTTGTTTTATGTTAATGTACCTGTAGTCGAGTACTGTTCTGCTGCCCTACGTGACATCGGTCATGCGCCAAGTGTCTTAGCTCAGTGCAGCCTTGGCGAGGCTGCATCGCCGAGAATATTTTCGCAAGGTGACTGAATTGCACTGGCCTAGCATGGGTTTCACATTTGTCAAGAGAAACATGACCCCATAGTCATTGACATCAGTGCTCTCATGTTAAAGTCGTGTATTGGTTTGCGGACAGCAGGAGAAACTGCACGTTGTAATTTCTGTCATTACCAGACAGCCTCGAGTTGTTACGGATCACGGGGTAATCATCCGCAACATGTAGTCCGCTGTTGTTCTCCCTAGGCTTTAAGAGGGCATTGACATTCTTTGTCGATTCAGCAACGCTATTGCCGATGCTAATCAAAGAAATGCCGAAAGACAAAGGGAGGAATGCTACATCGCTGCTCCGTCAGCAAATTTTATCTGGCATACGCCGAGGCTGGAACCACCGCCGTGGGCGCTGTTGAGCTACACGAGAAGCCAGCCCTCCTACAAGCCTAGGCATACCTCCATAGAGCAACTACTCGTGGTGCTGACACAGGTGAGAGCATACTAAGTAAAACTTCTGAACCGGTAGGCGACACCATGTCGTGCGAAGGCCCGATGGCTCTGCTCTGGTGTCGTCGACATAGGTTAATGGCGTCTTATCGCCGTCGATGCTTTCAATCGCACACCTTGATTTGCTGTTTCAAGACTCGGTATGTCGATCAGGTTAAAATACTTTTCATTGCCTTCGCCTTGAATTTTTGCCCCGGTTGCCATCAGAAGCGGGCCGCGGCGGCGATAGATATCCAGTCGTGGTCTGTCGCCTGCTTTGAGCCCCTGAAGTTTACGTTGCAAGCAGACTAATTGATCTTGGCCTCGTCATCACCATCTGCTCATGTACCAGCGTCCGCAGTCTGTTTCCCGAAGGTCGTCATCGTCGAAATTCACGTCCGACAAACGTCGTGTAAACGCTTTGCCACACAACAGCCAACGTCCTTCCAGGGCTGTCCAAGTCGACACCTTGCACAATTTCTTGCGGGGCACCTGGACAACAATCGGCAACACGCAACAGTACGTTGTCAGGCTTTCGGTGCGGTTCATGTCCTATGCCACCACGACCCCATCTAAAAAGTATCGGACCGCAAGACCCGTTCCTCCAACAACGCTGGCATCTCAGCAAGACGAAACAAGCCGACGGCAAACTACAGCAATGTCAGGTGGCACTGTGGAGCGTAGCATGAGGCAGTCCAAACCGGAACTGGCGGGTTTTCGATGTAGCGACGAGAGATCTTAGTCGAAAGCCACATTCAATTTCAGTTCATCTTGCCACACAGAGGCACTTGCTTCGGCCTTGGTGATCCCAACACTGGCCACCATAAGCTCGTTCATCTCCAAGAACACCCACACGTCCAGCGTTTGCCTCCCTCCCGCTGCTCATCCTTTTGTCACCTGCCCATTGGCTGAAAACGGCCACTGGAAATTTTGCAATCCAACGTCAGCGCAATTTGCAATTTTCCTGCACAAGTCAACTTGCCAGTGCCGTTTGGGCCAGTGTATCCAGGGAAGTGGCAAAAAGTGGCAAACGGCTGAATAGGTTCATCTCATTCCACCCTCCCCCCTCACGGCCACTGATAGCGCAGCCATTACCCAAGCCAGACCCAACGAAGAAGCTTGCTGCTAAATGGGCGACTCGTCGTCTCTGGGCGGAGCGCTGATCGCCGCGGGCGCATGTGTGTTGCTGCTGTTCTGTGTGATCGTGCTGTGCGCCAGCTACTGCCACAGTTTGGACGACGATGTGGCCATCGACTCGGTGGATCTTCGCAGTTTGCAGTTGCGCGAGGACCTGGTGGACACGGTGCTGGATGCAGGACGCAGCGAGTGGCAATGTTTGGTCTGTGCGCATATGAATCACCCAAATCATGAACTGTGTCTGCTGTGTGGCACGTCGGCCGAGTTCTCCACGATGGAGGAGACGGTAGAAGACCCTAATACGCACATACGAACTCGGCGAGTGGCCCGCACCACCATCCTAGGCACAGACAACGGCACATTACTGAGCTCTACGCTGCTGGAGAACCTGGTCACCAGTTCAGACTCTAATCCAGTGATGGGAGACGCAGAGAGCTCTAAATCTTCTTCAGCCACTCTACATAAAGCCAAGACGCTGCCCATGCTACGCAGCGAATCGTCCTTTGGTGACACAACTCAGGAACTGGAGGCCACAACGAGCATGAGACAGAGAGCCTTACGCTACAGGAGACTGAACGAGATGCAGTTGAACCAGAAACAGAGAGGTGCGAGCAGGAGAAGACTGTGGCAACGAGTGCCACTGCCCAATGGAGGCTTCGTGTGGGTCAGAACGATGGAACCTGCAGCTGCTGGCTCGGTGTTTGCACGTGCTGATTCGTTCGTGAATAAACTCCGGAACAACTCGTTCCTATCCAAAAATCCACAGGCGAAGAACTTGCGTGGAGATTTAGCAGAGCAATTGCATCGGAAAAACGCGGCGTCGATGGGATTTTTCACGGAACTCAATGCGTCGGGTACAGCTGTAGCGTGGAGGAAAACGGACTCGGTAGCGTTGGATGTGGACCCGAAAGGTGGAGATGGAGAACCCTTGGTGGACTTTGAAGGTGTGCTGGCCATGACTTGGAGAGAAAAGAAACGCTGGTTCCTCAAGCAGATCACCAACCTCGCTGTGCCGTATACTGAGTCCATGTTCAAAATCGACGTGCGTCGTAGTGCCATCTTGGACGATTCATTGCCGCAACTGGCTGGAGATGAGGTCGACAAGTCCAGGATGCAGGAACACTTGAATATCGGCTTTATTGGCGAGCCAGCATTGGATGCTGGTGGTGTCTTGCGTGAGTGGTTCGGACTTGTGTGTAAAGAGCTTTTCAGCGCTGAACGCGGCCTATTCGTGACGACACACGCAGAGGATTCCAGTTATTGGATTAATTCGGAGTCCGCCAAGTGCGTGCCGGAAGGACAGGACCATCTGCAGTATTTCACGTTCGCTGGGAGGCTTCTGGGCAAGGCGATTCTGGATGGTTTGGTGCTGGAAGTAAGCATGTCACTGCCGTTGTTGAAGCACTTGCTGGGCGTCCCAATTACCTTCTCCGATCTGGAATTTCTGGACGAGGAGCTTTATAAACATTTGTGCTGGGTACGGGATAATGACCACGTGGATGCTTTGTGTGTGACTTTCAGCATTCAAACCCCATCGGGCGAGATGGTGGAGCTCAAGCCTGACGGAGAAAACGTTGATGTGACCGACGAAAACAAGACGGAGTACTTATCGCTCGTGTTGCGATACCGTATGTTGGACAGCGTGGCTGATCAGCTCACAGCGCTACTAAAGGGACTGTACGAGGTGATCCCGAAGTCTCTCCTCACGATCTTCGACTATCAAGAGCTGGACTTCTACCTCAGTGGACTACCTACACTAAATGTGGCAGATTGGATGAACAATTCTCGCGTTCGACACTGTGCCTCGGACGACGATTCAGAGGGAATCGAGCAAGAACTCGAGGTGCTCCAGTGGTTCTGGGATGTCGTTGGCTGTTTCACCGATGACCAGCGAGCTCGACTTCTACAGTTTGCAACAGGCTGCTCACGTGTACCTGTAGAGGGTTTCAGGGCGCTCACTAGTGCTAGCGGCATTGTGCATCCGTTCACACTGCAGATGGTGCCTACGGGCACGCCACCGCTTGGAATGTGTCCGCGTGCACACACTTGCTTCAACCGCATCGACTTACCCGTGTATGAGACCAAGGAGGATCTCAGCTCATATCTATCACTGGTAAGTCGTCTTTTTCATATAACTTGTTGTCGTTTGGGTTGTGATATTCACTCTGCTTGTCGTGTGTGTGTGTGTGTTCCAGGTGATTCAAATGGAGATCACTGGCTTTGGCTTCGAGTAGTGTAGCTGTCAAGGATCCTACTCATGAAAAGCCCAACTAACTTTAGGTGGAGAAAATATGTAAATGATGAATTCTGGATTGGATCGCGTTTTGATGAGCACAGTACCTGCGATGGTTTCGTGTTGCTATTATTGCAAGAGGTCGGCAGTGAGAACAGACCAACTTCGAGGTCATGACCAAGCGAGGGAAGAGGAAAACCGGGAGGAAGCATGATGGCGTTCCTCAGAGCGAAGACGGGCGTAAACCTGACGTTCCTGAGCGATCAGATCAACTTGCTGGAGCGTCTCGTCAAGGTTTAGGAGGACACACTGTCAATCTATCGTTTTTCCGATCGAGTGCTCAACTATATGGAGAACTGCACCAACGTCTAAGTCGTGTGGGTGGGGAAAGTTACACAGAAGAAAGCGTATCACAGACTGGGAGGCAAATACTTGTGGCGCTTGAAGACTTGGCACACGCTGCCGATCCGCGGGTCGAGCCTAAAGGCTCGTGTCCATTTGTGATGCTTTTGTCAATGCTGTTGCCAACCCTTCGGAAATATCTGGCATGGACGCAGGCGACAAGATCGCTATGGGGTAGTAACTTTGTAGCTTTTCGACATCGAAGTGTCACTGCTGAGGGAGCTGTCTATAGAGGTGAGAATGATACTGTGCTGTTGGCGATGCTGGCTCAGCACAACATTCTCACACGATTCGCTCTTCAAACTGCGCACATTTCACGCCTCATCGACAGCAACGAAGGTGGCGGCTATGATGATACTTTTTCAAGTCGAACCACTCAGTCTAACGCTCATCAACCATCGTCACAAGTATCATCGGTGGCGTCTTCTGCTTGTTCTTCTGTGACGTCCACACCTCGAGACCCAATGGATTCCGGCAGGGTGTACACTCCGCGAGTAACCAAAGACAAACCGGTTTCCACTCCTCAGGTTCATCGCATTTCCGTTGAGTTAGCAAATGTCGATGCTGAATGCAAGATGCATCTCGCTAAATTGACGGAAAGCCTCATCGAAGTCGTAGAGATGGTAAGTGTTTGTAGTCTTCAGTCCACCATTTTGTTTACTGAAGTCGCTTGGTGTTGATAATGCACAGATCGCTAAGTACATGTGCACGCCCACAGCAAGTAAAGATGCAGGAAAAACGCGGATCTCGGCGGTGAGTAGTTGAACCGCTGGCCTTCGCAACATCCTTGTTCTAACACTGTCGTTGGTATTTGCAGAGAGAATTTATCGAGCGTCTTGTGCAGCACTTACTCGAGCCTATGGGACAAAGAATACTGGCGGAACCTTCAGCATCTTACACTTACTTATTCCCTCGACTTCTTGAGCAGTGCATCACCGTTACCATCGAGTAGATTCTTAGGTTCTGCTTTCTTAACGCCATTCTTCTCTGACGTTTTCTTTCTTGTGTCGTAGTAACTTTGCACGAAGTAATGAAAAACGGAACGAGCTTCAAGCAGCTCCATTTGAAGCAGGCGTCATGCATTTGCGCACCTGGAGTTTTAAGCTTGAAATCGAGTACAACACGCGCTTGAGATCTTTGAGCAGTAGTAGCAACAACGCTGATTCCGGCACGGAAAGTGATGCACCCAATCACGCGGCTTTGACTACGTCTTGCGTTCCATACAAACGTATAAATCTCATGAGTTTGGATGGCTTTAAGCGACTGGAAACAACGTTGAGCTCGTGGTTGAATGCATCTTCGTCAACGCCAGCTGGGTCAGACTTAGGGAGCGGAACTTCAGCAAGATCATGGGGTGTTACAAGCTTAGCCGGTGGAATTCGCAGCACGTTAGTGAGAACCTTCTCAGGGAGTACAACGAGTGGTCCTCCAGCGTAGATAATCACTCAATGAACGTTGAGTTTACTATCTTATCGGAACCACCACGGCATCGATTTTCCAGAGCATTAGCGTGGACAATCTGTCGTATTTGAAGCGCTGGGGGATTTCACTCGTTTGAACTTCTTGGACAACAAACCGTAGCATGTCTTCATCGTTTCCAGCTTGATTAGAAGATCCAGCGATGCACGTTCGACACCGTACTTGATTGTCGGTGACGTATGTGTGGCAAGTGCTTGGATCATGCAAGCAAATATTTTCTTGAAAGGTATCGTAGCCGAGCGAAACAACTTGCATAGCAGCAGCGGAAAAGACTGAACGCCGCTCTGTTGTCACGTAAGCTTTTGCGCGATTGTACTTCAGCATCAGGCGACGCAGAGCGCGCAAGAATTTGAGAGTCAAGGTATCATCATAGAAGACATCGCTATCAAAGATATACGTAAACACATACAGCATGAGGATGAAGAATGAACCAGACGCGCAATGTGTCAAACCGATTGCAACCTACCTGGCGATGATGATCGTTAGATTCTCCAACTCAGCTTGGTCAGTAGAGATCCAGTCAAACTGAGCCGCAGAAGCGTCTTTGGCGATAGATATTAAGCTTTTATCGTCCCAGTCCAGCAAGCGAGGTCGAACGTCTCCCTAAAAATCATGGTAGCCTCAATGTTAGCCGTTGTCATCGAAGTCTATTCATTTAGAGTTTCCGTACATGAAGATTGTGCTCGACATTCCTCCGGGTTAGAACGAGAGCATCCTTGTCCGAGTCAGTTGCGTAGACACAGCGACTCAACCTGGAAGCCACAATCGATGCGAAACCTATTGAACAACGTCACATACACTAAGTTATCTGTCTAATAAATCCCAGTGTCTGAAGTAGTCAAGCAACCGTACCGATTCCACATCCGAGTTCGAGAACAGTTTGCCCAAAAAGCGTTTCCTACATACATGTCAATATCCAGCAAAGTTGTCAAACTGATGAAGATGAAGCAGAAACAGCACTCAGCCTTACCGATGTGCTGTACATGTACTCTGCTAGTAGAAATGCCGCTCTCCACAATTGTGTGCCTGCAGTGTCCCATGTTGTTCGGCTGCGGGCTTGCAAAACGAATGTTGTGTCCGTGCCTCTGTTGGCATGTTCCCGTGGTACACCTGACATTCTAGCAGGAGCTGGCTCCGATCTAGTTGATTTTCGCCGCTTGTTTGCTTGACGTCGAGGCACGATGATATCACCATCGTTGTCCTCTAGGATTGCTGGTAAAAGAGGCACAATGAAAACGTCTGTGTCCGGTAGGGTAGCATGCTGTACTCGTTCCAAATCCTGCTCCACTTCAGAGCTCACGACGTGTGATGGCGAGATACTCGAAGCTGTAACAAAAATAATTTGGTTATTGCAGCCTTGATTAATGTCCTTGGAGTAGCTTATTCCAGCCTTAGCTTCATATTCCACATACAAACAAGTGTCGACGGTTAACTTCGTCTAGCATCGTGCATGTCTAAGCACCAATTATATCGTCGGAACCTTTTGAAAGATGTAGATCCTGTTTCCATCTCAATAGCTTGTCGACAGAAAGCTTGAACCCGTGCTGTGAGCATTTTACAGTCGCTACTTCGCACGCTGTCTTCAATACGAGGTGAAGCGGAACATCGCCACGAGATAAACCAGCCAGAGTAGCCCCGATAAAAGAATCCCCCGCTCCGTTGGATTCCACTACTTGATCAAGCTGAGCAGTGGGAATATGATGCGTCGTTGAGGTGGTCATATCGAGATAGTGCACACCCTCCGCCCCCCAAGGGCAGATAAATGCTTTTACCCACTCACTCCAGTCCTCGTCCCATCGTTGCGCCTGAATACCATCGAAGAAATCCTTAGCACTGAGAATGTGAATATTGTCGCGAAGATAATCCTTGGACATGAACACATAGTCTGCCAACGACGCTAGCCTGCACACGCATCACGGATAAATCGACCAGCGTAACCCATAACCAACCTATTCACTCAAAACATGCGGATCCTACGTCTTCGCAAGAGTCCAGGGATATCTCGGGAACTCAATCTCGACCGAAATCTTCGCTTGGGGTGCATTTTCTCGAATGTGGAGCATCATGTTTCTCACAGTCTCCATGTTGCGTCCTTCAAAGTGAAACCACACGGGCGCGTCCACATCCTCTCTTATCTCCTTCAGGTATCGTTCAATTTGCGCTGCAAACGCTTCACAGGTCAATTCCGCAATCGTACGGGAATGCACAATCGTTCTCGAGCCTGTTTCTCGACTTGCAAGGATATACTGCCCAGCCATTCAAACCACCACATAAGAGAGGTAGCTCATATGTATAATCTTGTCACCCATTGGATCTTACCGACACTGGCATGCTGCCCTCCTTCTCAATGACAGCCAATGAGCAGTCCACATTGAATGCAGCGAGGTCTGCATGAATGAACGCGGCATCGCTATCTTTTTCCGGGTCAGTTGACGTGCTCAGCCACCGACAACGGCCAACGAGCTGTGAGCAAACAACCTGCCGGTGGCTATTAGTATTCCCCTCGATAATATTAAACCAACGGGTGGGTGGCATTACCAGGGCACTCGCAGCATTTCCACCTCTGCACTTATACGTTGCTAAGGACCGCGCCTTTGTGTCCTCTATCGTACAAAATAAAGTGAGACGAATACGTCCCTCACCACACAGGCACCACCAGACACTGATGCAACGAACCTGCTGGGTACGCGGCGACTTCGTGAACGACATCGATGGCTGCGGTGCCGACTGCGATCACCTCCATTTGTCGTGCTTCTTTTTTTTTCTCCAAATGTTGAGTAAAACCATTTTTTTACGAAATGTTTTAACGCTTTTACCTAGTTGAAGTGGCGGGTTACAGGAACGGCATCCATCCGATGTACATTTGGGCAAGGTTTTCGTTCGATGTAGCCTCATGAATGAGCTTGTCGACTTGACCTTGCACTGATAGTGGTAATGTTTCGTTCTCCGGCAGGATATTGCGATGTGATGTTGATACGAGCGGGCGAATGGCATCGCCCAGATTGTAGATGCCGCGCAACCGATCATCAATCGTCCTGAGGACAAGACGTGTCTCCTGCTTACTACGCTCACTGGAGAGTTCAGCGGCAGTTTTGCCAGAGTTAGCGCTGCTCTGTGTAGCTTTGCCACGACGGCCCCACTCGACAAGTGGATCATGGATGAAAGATTCCAGCACGCTCCGCAACGTCGCCTTATTCTCTCGAAGCAATTGCATCGCCACCTCACTCACGCGACGGAAAACACCTTCATACCCTGTGATTCCGAAGGCGTCAATGATGTTGGGCGTCAAACGGAAAGGTACAATCTCTGGCTTTGTCAGCTTGAGACCCTTGTCGAATAGGCAGTCAAAGTCCACGTGCACGCACTCGCCGTTGGTGCAGTCAATCAGAATATTCTCTCCATGCCGATCACCGAGTCCGACGATATGCCCCACCATAGACCACACGGCTGCCGACCGCGAAAACATGAGCCGAGCTTCAAACCATGCAGTTGGATCGGCGAAATTGTTGTAAAACCACTGATGAAACCTTGGCGTGAAGACCGGCATCGACAAGATTTCGCGGCAGTAGAACCGCGCCATGGCCGTCGGATTATTCGCGTATTTCTTCTGCATACTCAGATACTGCTCCTTGATCTCATGCGTCAGTCGGACAGGCTGAATATACCCACGCTCGGTCTTGTGGATTTGACCGATGAGCTGGCGCATGGCCCTCGTGTGTCGCACCCACTCCATGAGTCCGCTCTCTTCGTTCAAGCACACAACGGCGTACGTTCGCAATCGCAGCTTGCGTTTGCGACCTTCTCGATCCTTTTGAAGGAGCCTGTTAATCATCGAGTTGAATTCCATCATACGCGCATCCTTGCGAAGATCGCCATTCTTCTCACGTTTGCACAGGAACGGATATAACAGTCCATCGGTGCCCAGAACTTCGATGCGCTTGGGCTTCTCCTTGGTCATCATTACATCTGCTTTGTCGCTGAAAGCCTTGATGTAAACCTGCGCGTTTGACGAGAAAGCAACATGATGCTCATCGCGAGGCGCAAGTCCAGACGTCGGCAGGATCGTAGTCAGAGCCGCCTGAATTGGAACGAGAATTTTGGTTCGGATCCGGCTCAGTCTGATGTGGATCTTGCGCTTACTGTTGCCAGGGTCATGGGCTGCAAGACTGATGAGTTCTTCAGCCATTTTCATGCCCTCGGAGAAGCTATCGGCAATCTCTTTCAGACCTTGTAACAGAAACTGCTGCTGTGCGCTTGAAATGATCTCACGAGCACGGTTCTTTCGCTGTGAGTTTAATGATCGTGAGAGACCCAGCAGTGACCACATTGCCTGCGTTGGATAGGCCACGAGCACTTGGACCATAATTTTCTTGACGCTGTCGACTACCTCTGGATTGGGGTGACAAATGCGCGAGGTTACTTGAGGAAAGCACACGAGCCACTCATACGCCGGTAGAGATGCAATAGCTTCACCCACAACTTGTGTAATATCAGTAAGAACCTTGTGCTCATTGGTGGACTGACTCAATCCGATCTCAATCTGCCTCATCGCCTTGTTCGCTTTGTTGCTTGAACGTCCACTGCTGCTGCCGTATAGTACTTCGCCCAAATCGAACCATAGCGTCAATAATCGAGGAAGCGACTGAAACACGAACTTCGTCCCGTGTGCCAGTGCGAGTACGTAATTCTTCATCAAGTTAATCAAATGACCGTGAAACACCGAATCCACCAGTAGGTCAGCCGCTTCATCGCTACTCATTGACCCGTTCAAAGCGTCAGGGTGGCTCATATTCAGCAGATACTCGTAGTATTTCGCCAGGAAAAAATATCCTTTCTCCCACTTTGGATCAAAGCGAATAACAGCTTGATATCGCTCGATCACCTTTTTACCTTGGCGCTGACCTGACTTCTGCATCCAGTTGGTCGCTAAGAGAAGATTCTTAGCGCATAAATGAGGGTCTTCAACATCGAAATCCAACGTGGACGCGTCAATATCAACTGGCTCGAGAATTTGCAATGCCTCGTACACTCGATCCTGACTCACGAGCAGTTTGGCCTTTTCGATCGTTGCATACTGGTTGTCCATTGCTTGAGCATGCATCACCGCGCTAGTGGCTGTACGAATAAACCCTTCTTTTCTGGTTAGCTTGGCGTATAGCAACCAGTTCTCCGAAACTTCGTTTAGAAGCCCTGCCTCGTGTAAAATTACTCGGCGTAGTGCGAGTATCGGGTCACGGTATTTGAGCTGCGTTGCCATCGCATCATAGCGCATTTTCCAAGGGGACTGCTTTTTCCAGAGCAGACTGCGCCGACTGAGATCGTCGCTCTCCTTCGCATTCTGCAGAAATATGAATCCTTGCTCTGCCTCGTGTAGAAAGTGTAGGTCATGCAGTAGGGGGTACGCACGTTGATAAGACTCAGCCGACGCCGCCGCCAGCGGTCCCATCAGTTCAAGTCGCGCAGCCTTTAAGTGGCCCTGAAATTCTTCTTGCTGACCACCGTGCAAGCTATGCAGTACACGAACCAGCATGAGCTGCGAAACGTCAAAGCCCTTTAGTCGAGTGCTGGTGGTGTCATTAGCAGAACTTCCCGAAGAAAGAAGTAGGGGGTTTTGCTTTTCAGCGCTCAGCAGATCTGTCAGCAGCTCCCATCTTGATAAGCGCCACGAGCACTCGAGAGCATAGGGGTACATCGTTGCCATGAATTGAGGTTCTTGCGTTACGATACCGTTGATATGCTGCAATGCACTTTCAAGGCGTCCGAGTTGGATAAGGCAACCAATCATTCCACCATATAATTCGGGCTTTATCGTATCTGGATCTTTGTGCGCGTTTTCCACATCCAAAATCTGTGCAGGAGGCTGCATCATCGCGAGTTGGCTATACAGCGGTCTGCTTGGGGGTAACGATCTGGATGACAGTGCAGACTGAACTTCTTGGATTGCTTGTTCATAGCAAGCCAGCGCATCTTCCCATTGAGCTAATTGCTCGTGATCGACAATCTGATGCATCAAATCAGTGAGAGTTAGTCCTTCCTCCTGAATCTCATCAGGCGTGTCCGTCCTGGCGTCGTTATGCCGATATGCGTCGTGCAAGCGGCGCAATGAGGCTAAACCGATGAGAGAGTCCGGTTCGTCCACGCTTTTGTACAGTTGCTGGAGATAAATGGCATTCTTCGAGACCAATGAAAGGCGGACTGGTCCGGCCATCTCAACGTCGGCGCTTCTTGGTTCCGTCTCATTAAACTCTTCTTGCCGTAGATGAACTTCAAAATATTGAATTGCTCGGGCGTACGCTTTAATTTGGTATGCAGCATTCGATAGGGATCGACTGGGGATGCCTTTCAAAAACTCTTCCAGGTATTCCTTTTCATGGTCATCATCGATCTCCGAGGCCACGTCACTGCGACCGGAAGCAGACATTTGGCGACTTGCAGCACTGGCACTTAGAGCGAGCCGCTTCTTTTCGCTAGTCCAAATCCACTCGTTCAGCTCATCAATCGTCGAGAAAATAGTTTGGGAGCATTGATCATGACGACGAAAAAAATCGCCAACTCCTTTTTCAGATGCATCGCCAGTGCTGATGAGCGAGTCATTCGTGTGCTCTGACTCAGAAGCCATTAGTACATCGTCCACCAAGATACCGCAATCCTGGTCTTCTAAAACAGCCATGACTTCTTTCTTGAGCTCTTCGCCAACTTCGGATCTTCCTGACCGAAGTACATTTTGTATCAGGTAAGGAAGCAAAAATCGGGATATCTGAGGGCATGTTGGCAGTGCCGTCCTGCATGCCAGGAAAATCTTCCTCTCCGGCGGCTGAGAAAGACTAATTAATTGTCGGCACCAATTCAATATCCAGTCTTCATACGACGTCCCATAGACTTCATAAAACGAAATGTCATCTCGCGCCGGATGATCAACGCTCGCTGACGCTCGGAGATCAGATCCACTACTACCATTGCGGTGGGAAGATCTACCACCTGACACAACGTAATTTGTTGACCAATAGGGCTCCACGAACTGGAGAACATCTTTTCGTTCAAATCGTCTCTTCATCCAGTCGGGCATGGGGGCACTGGAATCTTGTCTTGACTTGTACGATGAACCAAAATTGAGCGTTGGCAGGCTTTGACCGCTATGCTGCGGATCGGCCGTCAACTCTGCCAGAAATTTCAGCAGTTCCTGGATAGCAAATGCTAATGAATCCGTGTTCTCTGGTGCTGCACGCAATTCTTTCACCAACCATGTCTCTATCAGTACAATTGCTAGATCCTTCGTCGAATACTCGATCTTTTGATACTGCTTTTCCTTCGCGACTGCAGCGCCCCCTTGGGGGCCAGACGTGTAAAACATGTTTAACGGCACGCGGGCTCCATCAATTGCACCCAAAGCACCTAAACACCGAGCACATAGCAGCTTGATAGGCACATGGGATTCCGTGCGGGAAAGCTGTAAAATTGACTGCACTACGCTAGCAAGTGCTCTGTCGATAAAGATGTCTCCTTCGTTCTGCATTAGCGTCTCCAACTCAGCACCTCGCACAACCAAACAACGCAGCAGCTGCGTTAGTGCCATTTCACGAACTGCTACGTCAAGGTGATTGACATACGCCGATAGGTTCATCAAATATTCCCGCAATGACCGGCATCTTGGATCTCCATCTTCCTCATAGAGAACAACGTAAATCTCATCAAGTTCCGGAATGGACGGTAGCAACGGGATCTTCGGGAAAGAAGGCTTCAACTCTTCCCCCTTCTCAATAAACAAATAGCGTAAAATACTAACCGCCGCTGCCATGCATTTCATCTGCGCTTCGTCTCGGTTACCTGGTGAGCCGACTTGCCCAAGACCATTCTGTCTAAAATGCTCCAAAGACTCGACATTCCAACACTGGCTACCAGTAATAGATCCATCTTCAATCAAAATTGCTGAGGTTTCGTGGCCAAGGCATGGGAGCAAGCTAACAACGATAGAGCTCAAATTCGCCTCTAAAGCTTTCGTTGACAGCATTTGCAGAAAATTTCCCCACGCTTGAATTGCGTGCTCTTGCAATGCATGTTCCGTCAGACCGACTTTCAAGGTTGCCATCACTTTAGGAACAAAAGGATCGACGACTCCACTGTTTTGCGCGCTGCCCGGGTCTGCGGAGGAACCACTGTAAAGATCTAGCAAGCGGTCGATGCTTTTGATCGCACGAATCTTCATAGCGGACGAGTTTTTGCCACTAATTCGATTACCTAGATCCGTCATGAGCGCCAGAAAAAACTGGCGGGGCATGCACCCTTCCCCAGGCTGAAGGCTCGCTACCTGCTCGATTGCTTCTGCATCCCGCGAGTCCTCATTTAAGCAATTTGCCACCTCTCGCATCGCCCGCTTAGCCATGCGAGATCGAGGCCCACCAAGCTCCCACGCCAGTAAGTTCATTAATCGCAGCGACGAGTGCGTAATCACATCACGGACGGTCGAGTTCTCTGGTAAGAATTTGAACAAGAATTCCCATTCCGCCAACCGATTTTTATTGGATACTGCTTGCACTTGGTGGATGAGCAGATCTCTTAGAATATAGTCGAGATGATTCAAGAGAAGATTGGTGATATTCATCGGCTGATCTTCAATTGGACCATCGCCATTCATTTCAATGTCTTCCCCTGTCCCATTAAATTCGTCAATAAAAGCGTGCAACATTCGCTCATTTTGCTGGACAACGTATTTCGGAAGGACATATGGCGCACTCGCTTTCAAAAAAACTTTCGTATCAACTTTCCCGCCCATGAAAGTATGGAGAAACAGCTTCAGGTTTCGAGTTTCCAGTAGTTCGTCGATAAGGGGATAGTAAAGAATTTCAGGAAAGTCAACGCATAAACGTCTCCACGATATTTGGTGGTGCGTTGTGATACGGCAAATCTGGGAGTAAGCCAACACTGCGCATCGTGAACGATTCGCAATCATGAATCGATTCCATAGTGACACCAGACGTAAAAGAATCCAAGTACAATTGTCGCCGCGATCACCTTGGTGCGGGTCACATTCACAGCCAATAGAACCTGATGCCAGCATCATCTCTGCGATCTCACTATCATCGTTGCTTTCTTCAGCCGCTGTTAAATGACCTTCCAAACGCTCCATTAGTCCAGCAAGCCCATCTTTCGCCGGATCAATCATTGCGTCAAGAAGTCGTGGTTGGTGGACAATCGATTCGAGCACTGCTTGACGGACGAGCTTGGAGCGATGTTCAAAGCACGTTAGAAGGTGCTCTACGAATTGCATGGCTGTCTGATCATTACCATAATCAACTTCACAGTGCTCGAACACACTCGATAATGCGTTGACTTTGACCACCTGCACCAGTTCGGTAGCACTTCCTGTCTCGCCACAAATTATCGGCTCGAATAAAGATAATGGGATTGGCATCGTTTGGCATCCATTAGCGATGTTTCGACACTGACAACTTTTGATGTGACAACCGGCGGCATTATCTCTTCTGTCGCTGTAATAATTAATTCCCTCAGCGAATGTTTGACCGTACGCTGCTGCACAGAGCACTGCTCCACACGCTTGTGTTATTGCCAACGAAGTTGTATCTGACCCTGTGCGTTGCATTTTGTTACTAAAGGCTTCCATGATGCAAGTAACCATCTTCTTCGGAGTTGTCAGCGATCCAGCCACGACAAAGAAAGCGAGAAGTGGGGCCATAGCAAGGTATGAACATACCGCCACATCAAGTGATGTTTCTTGCAAAATCGTTCGGTAAACAATCTTCCATGGTAGAGCATTCCGCCATGAGTCCTCATCGACAATATTGAGCGTAACAGGGCGCGACCATACAAAGTACACCAAAAACGGGCCACGGAGGGCTACAGACTTTCGGAAAAGAACGTCAAGCACGGCGTCTGCGCTGCGAAGGTGCTCATATGACACTTCTCCAAGCCTCTCCGATGGGGACATATCGTGGCACTGAGGGCGACGCTGGTGTACTTGAAGGAAATCCACGAACTCCCAACAATCTGGCACAATAAACGAGTTGTCTCGTTCGACGCTGTGTTCAAAGATCCGTTGCGTCTCAACACTCTCCACCACTTTGGTGAGCAAGCCACGATACTTTTCCAGCTCATGATCGTCAAAGTACCGGAGCAAAACTATCCACAAATCCAAGTATTCACTCGTAAGAGAAGTAAGCGACGGCGCGTACGTATTGACAACCAAATCGACGCGCTGAAGAAGAGCCCGGAATATGGCAAAACTCTCCAACCGAGCAAAAGCTGCAATGTAGCGACGAAGAGGCAAAATCACTCGCAAACCAGTGGATATACCTAGTATGCTCTTACGATCACTGCCGCCTCCGAAAGAGATAAGATCGAGTAGCCATCGTCCTAGCTTTTCGTGCAACTCGGTGCTGTTTTCACGGCGCAATCCTGGTAATAGCGTTTGTCTTTCCACAAACAACTTGTTTCGCTTCCGCTTCCTTGATGCGTTGGCGCTGGTTTGACTTGAACTCGTCGTACTGGGGTCATTGCTAGCTAATTCATTGGATATGAAGCGAACCATTTTCGTCAGCATTTCCTTCGTCGACAGCACATGATGAATGCCATCAATGACACCGGATATCATTGCTGGATTCAACATTTTTAAATCAACAAACTCCAACAAGTCAACAAACAATGAAGCGGAAGACGCAGTGTTGGACTGACGAGTGTACACGCCCAAAATCGAAAGTACTGCCGCCCAAATTGTTTCCACGCTGTGTTTGCTCTCATGGCTTGCTCCACGAACCAGATCCATATTCCCGTATACCCACGACTCGAAAGGTGGCCACAGTGCATCGCTGGCAAACTTGGAGATGCGGGAATAAGATGCGCCAATTAGCTCAAGGATGGCAGCACAGGCTTTCCATGTCCACGGGTTTGCCCCCCGAAGAAAGCTGGCCTTAAAGTACATCAGCGTCAAGCGAACGAAGCGTCGTTCTTTGGATACGCTGACCTGCAAAATAGTGTGCAATAATCTAAGCGTGCTTCGAGTAACTTCGTCCGCGCCTTGACTTGATACAGCACCGTTCACACTCATCCCGTCAGAAGTTTTCACAAGTAACTCGTTCTTACTGATAGATAACTCCACGAGTTGACATAATCTGTCAAAAGATTGGTCTCCTTCCAGCATAGCGTTATGCTCGCGAATTATCCGATCCACTAGCACTATTACCGACTGCCGCAATGCTACAACCATCCCATACGAACTGACGTGAATAGACGGCAGCATCTGCTTTAGCTGTTCCCTGCGCTCGTAAAGCTGGTTCACATCTGTAATCGGCATGCACCCACACAACGTAACGTTGCTCTTTGCGCCCAGTGGTCCATCAGCATCCTGGTACACGTGAATCGCTGTATCCAAGTAGCACGCAATGCTCGCTCCACCAGGCAAAACGTTCGTCGAGTTCCTGTTCTTCAATGACTCCTCCAGCAAGAAACAGTCCTCAAATAGCTGCACTGTATCCCGAAAGAAGTGAATAAACCCATACACGTCGTTCCTCTGCAGGAACAGCACCATTTGCAGCGTCACGTCGCGTACATCTCGCTGCGCCTCTCGCATATTGTTGTTGGTGTAGAACGACACCATATAGAACAGCATCGTAGCCATTGTTGGGTAGGATGGAAAGCCCGAGGATGCCGGGTTGTCGCCGCGCGCCACGCCCGTATTACTCTCCATAAACAGCGTCATCGAGTGCGGGCACGCGCCGCCACCCAGCAGAAGCTTCAGCAGCTGACACAGGTCCTGCAGCACAGGCACGGCTTTATCCATCGCCAGCGTCGCCACGGGTCGCATGAGCTTTGGCAACAGCTTTCGCAGCTTGGTCAACATCGTCTTGCATCGCCGGATGGCGGCAGGAGCGGTTGAGTCATAGGTACGGTCATCATGCTGGCGCTGGTGGGCACGTACGATCCGCAATAAGTTGTCTACGTCGCTCTTCTCGGCCTCCTCGGCGCTGGAGCGCGTTGCCATCGAGCTGAACAAGTGCGCACTCTGTAGTGAACGAATGCAGCATAACATCTCGGTTAAGTACGTTGAAGTAGGAGTGATGGTCTATAGCAACGTACTTAAGTGGTTATGTGAGCGGTGTGGCGTACATAACCGTCTCAAGCCAAACGATTCACACCACACGACAAGATGGCGACCAAGGGTGTGTGGCAGCTCAAGCAGGTGACGATCCGTTACTGCCAGCACGGTGGCAGCAGTCGCTACGTTCGGCAGCTTCTGGGCGATGAGCGCTTCCTCAAGTTCGTCGAGGAGAACCCGCAGGTCCAGTTTGAGACAGAGCTCAAGGGTGCCCGTCACCCCATCCTTATCGGAGACTACGGTGCGTGTAATACGTGAGCTGTTGAGGCTGGAACCAATAAATTAACGACGTGTTGGATCACTGTTGCAGTGACAAATGAGCGCAAGGTATCCGATATCAAGAACCAGGACATTCCTTTCATCATGAAGCAGGTGCGGATCAAGGCGTGACTACACAGAACGATCGTAGCAATGCGTAATCTGCATTGCCGCTGTCTATAACAGTTATGCTAACGCTTTTTCCGGCGATTTTATTTTCTTGTGATTCTGCAGCTGGAACGCCTTCGCAACTCTAGTGGTCGCAAAATGACGCACATCAAGAAGCCTGTCTTCACGAAGCGCCCAACCATCCAGGGTATCTGGCAGCCGGACCTCGACTTCCCGGAGTTCAAGATCAGCGACCGCACGTAGATGTCCATGCTAGCGGTTTGGAGGGAAGACGCAATTTCGGGAGCTGGGTCATCATCATTTCAGCACTGCATTCTGGTAGAGATCTCAAGGAACCTATGACAGCCTTCAGCTCGGAAGCGTGCAATAGCCCTACAGAGGGCCCTCTCAACATGTGAAGCATCAAATATATTCCTTCAACAGCCGCCGAGAGGTAGGAAGTGAGGTCCGCCACCTCGTTTCCCTCCCCCTCTTCTCATCTAACTCATGTGTGTCACAAGCAAGCAGACGTCGAAACGCTGCGAGCAGCAGCAGCTAAAGTTACAGCACCTGGGCCCCTACAATCGGCTTAGAAACCGTGCAGCACCACTTGAGCGTCCGTGCAAATTTCCTGGTCCAAAAGGAACTCGCGGATGTTGGTTCGCTGGTCGCCCGATAGCTGAATAATCTCGCCCAGCTCGTCGTCCTTGACAATGGCACCGTTGCAACTGAAGTTCTTCTTGAAAGCCTTGAGAATACGCTTCACGTCCAGGTCATCAGCCAGTCCCTGCACCGTCGTCAGACACTTGCGGCCATTGCGCTGCTGCACACGCACGTGAACCTTGCCACCGCCGATGCTGGAATCGTCCTTGGCATCAGCAAAGGCGTCTGCAAACCAAAACAAAAGAGGACACACATCAGCACATCGCTCGACGTCAGCCTGCCTGCAACATTTCCACAGCATCGTCCTGTCATCGCCACCAATAACGCACCGAAGGTCTGGAAGTTCTGGATGTCGGCCATATTCGCTCGAGACTGTCGCTATTTGAGTGGCTATGGATTCTCCCGTGCCCTTCCTAAGCGACATGATTGGTCAAAAGCATGCATTTCCTCACAATTCCAAAACTTGTTACCATTGGTGGAAAAACACATGTTGAAGCGCGAAAGGTTGCGATCATCAGTCGGAGTGATCGTCATGGGCAACGCACTATTGCTCGCGGCTGTGAAGGACCGTCAGGCTGTGGCGCTGGCTGACGCCATTCTACCCTTCGACAATTTACGTCTTCATGAAATCGAGGCGTTTTGGCGCGCGTTCTACGACTCAGCGACGAGCTTCGCGCTGTCCAAAGCTCAGTTGCGCTCCATTTGCTGCCGTGCAGTCGCCTCGGGCGTCTCCAGTTTGCACAGCTCAAGCGTGCGCGTTGCGGAGTATGCAGACTCCGCATTTGATCTGTTCACAGAGTCATTGATGCAGAGAAGGTGGCAGCAAGTACAGCCGGGGGTTCGTGGACTGCAGAGTCAGCAGTACCAAAATCCTAGCGACAGTTTGACAGCAATTGACGCTCTAGAATTCCTCTCGGCTATTGCATTCATAGCTGCCATTCCACTGGATGAAAAAATCGATTTGCTCTTTGATTCGTGGGATATGTCGGAGGACGGAGCGTTGGACTTGGATGAGTTCACGATATCTTTGAAATCTACGCTATCTGGACTGGCGAAGATCATCCAACCAGCCTCGTGCAGCAGGACTACAACGTCGGACGCAACGGTAGATGAAGAGGAGATAGTTATGCTTGCCGAGTCGACTTTCCGAGATATTTCTAACTGTGGGGCTTCATCATCAAAGGAGACAAGGTCAGAGGAATCGCCTACAATTACCTGTGAACAGTTTCGGGAATTCTGCATGAAGAACAAGCGAGCGAAAGAGCTGTTCGATTTGTTTGATGTGGCTGATGAGATGCGTGGAATCAATCATGAGGAGGAAGGAATGCCACTTGAATTGGTGGCCAAACTTGAAAAACACTCTGATCCAACAGAATCTTCAGCAACCGTAGATACACCGATGGACGCTATGCAGGATGACGTTGGCGACATGTTTTTAGCCGTGAAGCCGTGGATTGGAGCAATTGTGGCCCCAACCAAGATCCCACCGCTCTCTAAAGGAGCTCCGTTAGTCTCGGTCGAGCTGGACTGGATATTCGGCTACAGCGCTCAAGATTGCAAGAACAATGTACGCTTCGCAGCAACTACAGCCAACGCTAAAAGTGGACGCTTTGAAGAGATCGTTTATCCAGCCGCAGCAGTATCCGTTGTTCTAAACACAAAGACCATGAAGCAGCGCCATCATCTTTCCCACACAGATGATATATTAAGCTTGTGCCTGCATCCACGTCTCCCTTTAGCGGCAAGTGGTGAAATCGGCAAGCAGCCAAAGATAATTGTGTGGAATTTGGAAACAATGGACGACCAGTGCGTCATACAGGGATTTCACAAGCGTGGTATATTGCAACTAGCTTTCCTAAGCCCTGACATGTTGGTATCTATTGGTGGAGACGACGATCACAGTATTGCGATTTACGAGTCAAGCAACAATTGGAAATCTGCCGTACTGAGGATATCGGTGAAAGGGAACAAAGCGGCCCCGTTTCACATTACAACGAATCCTCGCGTGCCTAGTGAGTTTGTTACGTGTGGTCAAAAGTACATCGAGTTTTGGTCCCTTGGAGGAAAGGAGCTCGTGTCGAAAAAAGGTTTGCTGGGAAAGAAGGGATCTCTTCAGCCTTTTCCTGTGGCCCAGTACCTGGAAACAGCAGACCAAGCGGTGGTTGTTGGAACAAGTGATGGTTGCTTGTATCTCTTTGTGGGGAGGCAGCTGACGAATGTCATTAAAGCGCATGAAGGAGCAATTACTGTCTTATTTTACTCATCTGGAGTGCTGCTATCTGGTGGACGGGATGGTCAAATTATTCAGTGGGACGATAAGCTGAAACAAGTAGGATCTCCAATCCAGATTCGGGACTCTCTTGAATCATCTTTGCTACCTCAGCGCAAGGGCATACGAAGCTGTTGTTATTCTCCTGACAGGCGAACCATCCTTGTCGGTACTCTAGCATCGGAGATCTATGAGCTGGACGCTAAGACAGGACAAAACGTGCACTCGGAGCCACTTACTAAGGGACACTTTCAAGGAGAACTTTGGGGGTTGGATACTCATCCTACAAAGCAGCAATGCTGTACGGTTGGAGACGATCAAACACTTCGTGTTTGGGACTTGGCAGAAAAGTACGAGTTGGGATTCCTAGAGTTACCGATCCCAGGACGTGCTTGCACTTACTCTGGGGATGGCAAATTGATCGCTGTCGGTCTTGGCACTGAAGACTCTGGTAAAACAGGGAAACCCGCTGTCAATGCTAAGAAACAACAGCCTAACGGAGGCTTTGTGGTATACAGTGGTGTTGATTTGACGTGTGTTAAGGAGCCCTGCTTTGACGCGAAACGTTGGGTGAGCGATGTCAAATTCTCGCCCGACAATCGAACACTGGCGGTAGCAAGCCATGACTCCAAGATCTACTTGTACAACGTGCTGAAGGGTTTCTCTCGGACACACGTATTCAACAAGCACTCGAGCTATATCACGCACATGGACTTCTCACTGGATGGAAATTATTTACAAAGTACTTCTGGTGGATACGAGTTGTTGTTCACTGAAGTGAAAACTGGGAAGCACGTCACGAATGCTTCAACGTTTCGAGATGAGGTCTGGCACACGATAACGAGCACGTTGGGGTGGTCGGTGCAAGGCATCTGGGAAGCGGAAAGTGATGGCACAGATGTAAACGCTGTCGATCGCTCAAACAATGGGAAGCTCCTGGCAACTGGAGATGATTTTGGGAAAGTTAAGGTTTTTCAGTATCCTTGTGCCCTGGAAAAAGCCTCGTTCCTTGAACTCCGCGGCCATGCTTCTCATGTCACCAATGTGAGATGGTCGCCTGATGATAACTACATCGTTTCAGTTGGTGGAAACGACAGGTGTGTATTTGTCTGGAAGCATGACAAGCAACCAGTTCAAAAGGATTATTTCCAGCGTCGCCTGAGTGAGACTGACAGTGATAGCGAAGAAATCGAACATCTTGATAAAAGAGCTGATGATCCTTTGGAGGTGGCGGCTACGAATGACGATGTTGGCGATGAATTCATGGCTGTACGACCGTGGCTAGGGGCAGTAGTGGCTCCTTCGAAAGCCGCATCAATGAAAGTGGACAGCACGTCTCCAAATACGAGGCTTGAACTGGAGCGAGTGCATGGTTACCAAGCTCAAACAGCCTCAAATAATGCTCGATATGACTCAAATGGCAAGGTGGTGTACCATACTGCTGCTCTTGGCATCGTATTTGACAAATCTGCTCAGCGTCAATCTTTTTTCAGAAGTCACGACGACGATGTCGTTGCCTTATGTGCCCACCCGAATGGTACAACATTCGCGACGTCGCAAATGGGTAAAAAGCCCAAGATTTACGTTTGGGATTCTGCAAGTGGAGAAGCTGTTGCACCATGTCTCGAAGGATTCCATCAACGCTTTGTGAATGCCATTTGTTTTTCAAGTGATGGCACTAAGCTTGGGAGTGTTGGGGGCGACGATGACCATTCCATCGCAATTTACAATTGGCAGAGTGGAGTGTTGTCATCGCAATCTCGCGGAGAGCGTAACAACGTTCGTGGTATCTGCTACCACGCTGCTAGTAAGGAATGGGTGACATGCGGTGACAAGCATATTCGTTTTTGGACGGAACAAGGGAAGAATCTCACTTCAAAGAAAGCAATTTTCGGGACGAAGGCACACCAGAGTGGCAAAGTGCCGTCAGTATTTGACTGTGTCGTATCTTTCGGGCAAATGGTTGTCGCAGGTGGATCGACTGGCCATCTAGTAGTATTCCAAAACTCTGTGGATGTCACGAAAACTGTCCAAGCCCATGACACTGCCGTGCTAGCGCTCTATGCAACGGAAAGGGAATTGATAAGTGGCGGTAAGGACTCCAAAATTGCTGTCTGGGACGCGCAGTTCAGCAAAATGGCAGCTTTCGATATGAAGGAGTACACACTCCAAGGAGCCAAACTCTTGAATTCGGAGATTCGAAGCATTTGTTCCAGTAAAATTTCGCCCAGACTATTCTTAGTTGGTACGGGTGGTAGCGATCTGATCGAATTCGATGCTGGTCGCGCTCAGCCGACACTATCAACGATCAGTCGTGGACATTATAGAGTCGAGGTCTGGGGACTTGCTTGTCACCCAACGAAAGCAGAATACTGCACAGTTGGTGATGACCAAACTATCCGAGTATGGTGCCTGGTAAAGAAAATTCAGCTGAGAATTCAGAGGCTTGAATGCGTAGCCAGAGCATGTGCACTATCGGATGCAGCTGACGTTGTCGCGATAGGATTCGGTGGACGTAACGCGATAACCGGATTATCAAAGACAGCTCAAGCCAAAACAGGCGGTATTATGCTGCTTTGCTATAGTGACTTGACGAAGAAAGTGTTCGAAGATCGACCGTCCAAGCAAGCGATTAGTGAAATGAAGTTCTCGCCGAATGGCTCCGTTCTTGCAGTCGGATCGCACGACCACAAGGTTTATCTGTATCGCCTTGACCGAAATGCGACCAAGGTCGTGAAAGCAGCTGTATTTGATAAGCACCAGAGCTATATTACCCACTTGGACTTCTCAGCAGACAGCCAAGTCTTACAGAGTAACTGTGGTGCCTACGAGCTTCTCTTTAGTAACGCCAGTACCGGCAAACATATCACGTCTGCGAGCAGCACGAAAGATACCCAATGGCACTCCTGGACATGTGTGCTTGGGTGGCCTGTGCAAGGCATTTGGCCACCGTGTTCCGATGGCACCGATGTAAACGCCGTCGCACGCAATTCTCGCGAAAACCTTTTGGTCACCTCGGATGATTTTGGCCTCGTGAAGCTGTATTGCTATCCCTGTGTGGCAAAAAATGCGAGCTCGGTAGACCATCGAGGACATTCGTCCCATGTGACCAATGTCCGGTGGTCTTGTGACGATAGCTACGTAGTCAGTGTTGGTGGAAATGATCGGTCGATAATGGAGTGGCGAGTCTTGAACGAGGGTGAGCAGATTTCTGCAGTACCTGGATCTGACAAACGATTGAGTTTAATTGAACCGGAAGAGACAACAGATTCGTCGGCTGAATCAGAGGATGAACCGTTCGACGACGCTGCGGGAGACGAGTTCATGGCGGTGAAGCCTTGGATAGGAGCAATCGTTGCCCCTACGAACGCTGCTACGCCCAACTCTCGTGAACCCGACTTGAATGTTGAATTGGAATGGGTATTCGGCTATCAATCGGAGCTTTCACAACAGAATTTGGTGTACAACGCACAAGATGAGATCGTTTATCACACAGCAGCCGTGGGGATCATCTATGATTCCACGAATCACTTTCAAAGACACCATGTTGGGCACAACGACGACATTATCAGCCTTGCAATATGTGATGACAAGCGCAACCTAATCGCAACAGGAGAGCGCGGGAAGAAACCAGCGTTGAGAGTCTGGGACGCTCATACCGGCGAGCTACGCTGCGAAATGAAGGAGTTTCATTCGCGCGGAATATTGTCGCTTGCCTTCAGTAGTGATTCCACAAGGTTGGTTAGTGTGGGAGATGACGATGATCACTCGTTGGCAGTTTGGAGCGATGCCAGCAATGGGTCGTGGACTTTGGCAAAGCTTCTGGCTACAGGAAAAGGCGATAAAGCAGTGAATCGCTTTGCATCTTTTGGAGCAAATGCTGATACCATTATCACCGGTGGCGTCAAGCACGTGTTGTTTTGGTCGGTGCAAGGGAAAACCCTCGTCTCGAAGAAAGGAATTGTTGGCAAGAAAGGTACTTTACAAACGTTTCCGACGGGTTGTAACTTCGGTGGGGACTTTGTCACTGGAACAGCAGGCGGTGAGTTGTATGTGTGGAGAGGAAATGATCTATCAAGAGCGGTGAAAGCACACGACGGAGACGTTCGCGTTGTTGCAAGTATGCGCTCAACTGATAACTCGGCTGGAAGTTCCGCTGTAGTGCTATCAGGCGGAAAAGATGGTCGAGTTGTGATGTGGAACGCTGCGTACCAGTCTCTCAAATGTTTCGACCTGGGCGCAATGCAAGTTGGGAGCTTCGGCAAATTCATTAACAGTGTGTATCTAAACTCAACTGGCAGAAAACTACTTGTCGGTACTTGCTCCAGTGACATCATCGAGATAGATGTGGCAAGCGGAAGTGTTTTAAACGGTGGCCAACCTCTATTCTCTGGTCACTTTGCGATGGAGCTATGGGGCCTGGCAGTTCATCCTTCCCAGCGAGAGTTCGTCACCGTCGGTGACGACCGAACATTGCGCGTGTGGGATATGGAGGCAAAGAGGTTAATCCAGGCGCGTTTACTGCCAGCTAAGGCTCGTGCGTGTGCATACTCACCCGATTCCGAGTTGTTAGCGGTAGGCTTCGGGGGTGACAATGGTGTTCGACAAAGAAGAAAGCCGGCATCTAAGCAGGGGCAGGCACAATCGAGAGAAGGAGGTTTTGCTGTTTTACGAGCACGTGATTTGGATACGGGCACGTTAGTGTTTGAAGACAAACCAGCGAAGGAATGGATCAGTGATGTCAAGTTCTCCCCCAATGGAGATATTCTAGCCCTGGGATCTCATGACAATTCTATCTACCTTTACTCGGTGGGTTCGGGAGCGTCGGAATTCAAGAAGCGCAAACCTTTCAGCAAGCACAATAGCTACATCACACACTTTGATTTTTCAGATGACGGGAAGTACATTCAGTCAAACTGTGGCGCATACGAGTACCTGTTCTGCGATACAGCGTCGAGTAGTCAAGTTAGTCGGGCTTCATCTGTGCGGGATGTGCATTGGGCTACGTGGACATGCACTTTAGGCTGGCCAGTGCAAGGAATTTGGCCGGATTGCGCGGACGGTACCGACATCAACGCTGTTTGTGCATCTTCGACACGTACAATCCTCGCGTCCGGAGACGACTCCGGCAACGTCAAGTTCTTCCGCTACCCCTGCATTCCAAAAGGCGTACGTTGTGTATGATCTTGTGTCTATTGTACGTCCTGCTCACGTTTGTATTTGCAGTCAAAATTCATTGCGCGTCGAGGTCACTCCTCCCATGTTGCAAACGTACGCTTCAGCTTCGACGACAAGTATCTGATCTCAGTTGGAGGAAACGACAGATCCATTTTCCAGTGGAAGCTGGCGTAAACTCAGCACTTATCACATTAGGGACCTAACACAGAGTTCTATTCACCTTGTGAAGCTGCTTTAACTCCAGTCCGGTAAAACCGTCTTACTTGGCCTCCTCCACTTTCTTGCGTGAGAAAACGCGCTTGATGTAGGGTAGCGTAGCCAGTGTAATGGGGAAGCGGATGACCTCGAGGCATTCGTTGACGATCACCGCGATGGCGATATTACCGTACGTAGGGTCGAGGCGGGCCGGGTCGATAAACTTGTCCAGGCCGTTCTGCATGATGAAGTCAATGATGCTGGCACCCGATACGAGGCCCGTGTCCAACGCCACGTAGATAGACACACCCGAGGCCAAGTAAAGCGACGTCCACCAGACGAGGAAGGGCAGACCGTACTGTTGCAGCGTGCCCATGAACTTGTTGGGCTTCTTGGCTATCTCGGCCTTGAGCTTCTCCACTTCCTCCTTAAGCGCTGCATTCTCCTCTATCAGCTCCTGGATTTGCTCTTTTCTGCTCTTGCCGTTGTTGCTGTGAAGCTGCTGCTGCTCGTCATCACGACCAGGGATCGAGGCGAATGTCTGCACTTGCAGACACTTGGCGAACGAACTCTGCGGGCCAAAGCGGACACGGTAGGACGCAGTGAGCGGCGAGAATGAAGACGACGGGCGTGACAGACGCTGCGCCAGCATTGGCGAGCGACTGCACTGCGTGGCGCCGCGGAACAGCGAGCGGATGGCGGGACTCTGCAGCATGGCTTACGAGAGGACGGATTAGTGTCGGACCCGCCACACATCAGTAGAGCGCACTAATGCGGAAAGTACGGTACATGACAATCATTCCAACCGTAGCTCTTGAAGAGAATCATGTCTACACTCGAAACGAAGAGATTGCTGCAGATGAGGAGCAGCAATGCGGAGGAGCGTGGTGATTGAGAGAGCAGCGAAACGTCATGTTGATAGCAACGTATGAGTCAGTCACAGGCCTTTGATTTCGGAGCTCTGGAGAGATAGCTAGCTATCTTGCGATTAAAGGAGGAGAGGTATGGAAGTTGGTCAGTGGGTAGGACCAACCCCCGCTCAACGGTGCTCGCCTCGGTTCGTTGTGTCAACGTTGAGGGTTAAGATGGAGGTGGCGTACGCGGCATCTCTGGTTTCTGCTTGCCAATTACACCAACGTACTTCAGAGGCGTGATATTCAAAGCATCTGAGAGGAGACAACGTCTTAGTAGCTCATTGACCATGAGCGTATTATCCATGGCGCACTGAGGCGCCGCCAGCAAAGGGATCTTTGTGCTGCGTTCCATCAGTCTGAAATGCTGCTTGGGAAGGCGCCAAAAATGGAAGAAAGTGCTGCCCCACCATACTGAGCACCAGTTGTTGTCGTCAACTGCCCGGCCGTTTCAGCTCAGCGGCATAGCCTCTACCCTGGATTTCCGGGCTTTAATGGGAAGACGAAGATATCGCTCGACTGAAAGACCGGAACGCTCCCACTTGCAGGCGCTGGCACCATCTGCAGTCCGACACTAACCAAAGCGCGTGGCAGGCCCAAAGTCCATGACGGGCGCCACGGAAGTTTGCCGACGCGCTGGCGATGTATCACCTCCAACGAGTAATGACAGCGGTTCGGGCGCCATGTCAGTGGTCGTAGCCGTCGAGAAGTCGCTGCTGCGCACACTGGCTTTCGTGCTCTATCAGCTGGATCGGAACTGCGCTAAGTACTGCGCCTCGTCCATCCTGCAATGGTACATGCAGCTCCAGACGCAGCTCCCCCTTGCGGCAGTGGACTCGTTGGACAGAGTGGCCGACTCGGTTATTTCGCTCTCAGACGCTCAATTCACGGAATTCTGGCGATCGCTCGTGGCCAAAGAACTGGACGAGGTCTCGTGCAGGAGACAGCAGACTCTTCGACACCGTCACAGGCATCACCACGATGCGTCCTCGACCTCAGAAGTAGATGGCACTGACGTGCACGAACAGGAGCAGCACGTTGTCAAACGCTTCTACCAGCAGCTCTTCCTAGGAGTTCAGCGGTTCTTCGCGGCTGAGCCGTCAGATAAGGGACGCACACAGACGCCATGCACTTCTCCAGTTGATCTCATGGATGCAAGCCACAGACAACCGCACAGCACACGGCATCAATACCATGACACGAACCACGAGTCCGACTGCTCTATGAGTGACGTTGCAAGGATAGAGGATGAATTTGAACCTGGTTGGGCTGTGGAATACATGGAACAAGACTCAAACATCCCTTCCGAGATGTTTCGACGGATGACAGAAATGATGCACTCAAACGTCCCAGCGAATCTCTTCCGTGCTACAGTCACGCTAAGCGGATGCGACGATGATGATCGGGATATGAACGACTACATGGGTGCAGTCACTCCCGGATCTTTTCCTCCAACGCCAATTACGAGAGACTTGCAAACACGACGTATGAACCACTACACTATCACTGTGCTGGATCATGCTACTCTTACGCTTCGGCTACTGACTGAAGAAACCTACAGCAGCTGAGGACAAATTGGACAATCTGGAAGCTTATGTATTGATGAACAACGTACAGTATGATTCATATCGACGTTTGTTTGAACATGTTCACTACTGTAGTGTCTAACGACCAAACATTCAGTATTGAGACTCTCAGCTTAGTCAGTTTTCCCTTTCCAGTCAGCACCAGCAGAAGCACGCAGGGTTCTTTTCGCCACGCCGACAGAAACCCAGACAAGTATTACCGCACCCATAGTTGCAAAACATAGTGTCATGGAGCTCACAAGCCATCTTGAAGGAAGGTAGCCGACAGGTGTGAGTACTGTCATTATTGGAAGAGGGGATACTGCGGCGAGGCGAAGCCAGTGGCTGCCACTGCACGAACGTCCTTGATCAGAGATGCCCCATGTCTATTGACAAGATAATGAAATCAGTAAAAATCAACAACTCTTGATGCGATACACTCTTGCTTACCTGAAGGTAGTTTCGTACATCATCATCGTCTGACGATTTTAGCTTTTTCTTAGGACCATGGTCTCCATCCCGGCAAAACAAGAAAATGTCTGGAGCGATGACAGGTGCTTGACGGTACAATTCGCTCTCTGACGGGGCTTGGTATCGAAAGTGAATCGGGAATTCAATGTGCGATTGGTTCGTTGATGGCCTATTAACACGTCATTGAAACGTAAGTAAATACCACGGCATTATTATACAACCACCTAGCAAGAGTAATGGACACGAACATCGTAAACTCGAGACCAACAACATGCTGCGAGGAAACAGGTGAAGGTCGCTCGATCTCGATGTGCTTCGTAAACGACAGAAGCTTCAGCTCACCAAAGCGCTCCATTCTCTATGAACACCATCGACACAAAACACGTTAGAACCATGCATCACATCTCATGTTGCCGACTGCTTGAGCTCACCCGGATCTCGTCCAAGTCGATATACGCAGTGTTTGAAATTGGCACACGCATGAGGATCGTTTTGCTCTCGGAAGGTGCGCTACAGATCCCAGTTTCAAGGATCTCTACATCCATGACGTATCGGCGATGAAATCCTTCCCCAGTGATAGCTGCTTGCAGCGAGGCCGCTATGGTAGTCTTTGGGGCGCGGATCTCGAGGATAGAAGGAGAAGATGTAGGCACAACTCGCTTGCCATCTCGCTGGAGCCAAATGAGCTCGAGTTTGTCAAAATCTAAGTCCCTAGCAGTCGACGTCACAACTAGAACGTCACTCTTACTCTTGCCAATTGGGAGAACAGCTCTGAAAGATTCATCTGGACTTGACGGTCTCGTAATCCACGCCTCCAAATACTCTGCGTCGATAGTCGCAGATGCTGAACTGCGACTAAATGTCATAAGTGCCAGCTTTAGGTCGCGCTGGCCATCATGTAGGTCATGCTGCGCTTCCAATAGAGTTCGCTCGGTCGTCGTAAAATCAACTGAATTCTCGTCTGCCGCACGAATAATCCTGCTGTAAAATGACGTATCCTTGCTCTTTGGCGAGAAAGGAAAGGAGGAAGAGTAGCAGCGACTCGATGATGCGACAGCAGGTTGGCGAAGAATCTCGTCAAGTGGGTTACTTGTTTTCCATGCGCGGAAATCACACAAAGACTTGGCCAAGAAACCTGCAACAAGGAACATTTGGTGCAAAACGTAAGACACAGTACTCGCAATATGGTCACTGCCATCCAAACACATACCTCTCGACAAACTTGGGAGGATTTCAAGTGAAGGTATAGTGTTCTGCAAGATTCCACGGACATTATTCTCGATGCGTTCGTGATGCGTCGCGTTAATTGCACTCCAATCAGCTTCTTCTCGTAGCCTGACTTGCAGATGAATACCAACAGCACTCATCCTATCGAACCGTGACGAGCTTGCCAAAAAGTGATCAAATGTCGAGCTCTCGATATTTGTAGCTGGAATCCATGTGATCTGCACCAACAACCACTCGTCTTTTCAACATGCATCGCCACCTTTTGACTCAGATTTCCTACCTCAATTGTATCGATCAAGGGGTCAAGGGGTGTCTAAGCCCACAAAATACCGTCAGCTTGGCCACAATAAAAATTGACACAATCAATTCGCTGTACCTCCAATTGGGTGTCCATCTTCACATTTAACATGCCGAGAGCTCCTCCACGTGAGGATTCGACGACCGACGCGCCACCTGAAAGAAGCAAGTAAAAAGCGTCAGCTGCTGTAGTTGCTCGCGCGACCTTCTTGTCTTGCAACACACAATGAAATAGAGTTAAGAAACAATACCTGTATCTACCGAGAGAGAAAGTGTCGCATCGATGTACTGAGGCCACAGCGCGAAGGTCGCGTGACTGACTGTCTCGACACTCAGTCCGCTGACAGCAAAGATGCCCAGCAGTGCCGCCCAGTGTCGCATCTTGTGTTTTGTTGCAAGTTGCAAATTGCTACTTGCAATGAGCTTTGGGAAATATGATGTTATTTACACCAGTTGAAATATTGTGGCAGTAGCTGCCCTTGCAAATGCCTGCGTATGGAGAATAAGCACCTTCAATTCTCTGTACTAGTAATTGCAAGTTCGGTCGATTAATTTTATAAAGCCTATTTTATCTGACCTAACATTTACTGTAAAACCATGCCAATGCATGTTGTCATGTCCGAACACGGCCCAAAAGAAAACTTTGTATTAACAAATGCTGTTTCAATTAGCGCGTTGCCTTATGTGTCATCTCTTCGGGTATTAATAGTGCTGGATGTAGATGATACGCCGCAATAAGAGTACCTGTGGACGCGTCGTTGGGATCACAAGGGAGTGGCAACCTGCATGGTGTTTTATGAGACTGAAATGGCAGACCAAACTGTGAAGTCCACAGTTGCAGGCCCTCCAAACCCATGTATCGGATAATAAATAGTTGGCGATCATGCTACGTGGAGCTGCAGTTTATTCTAAAACGCTAAATATTCTAGAGTCGTACACTCGCCGATGTACCGGCTTGCGCCGATTTATTGTTGTTTCTTCGACATGAGGTCTTTGAGCTCGCCGATCAAGTTGCTACATTCAGCCAAGGTGTCAACAGCTTTGACTCAAGCTCTTACAGTAATACCGTAGAGTATTATTTGGATGATAAACTTTAGTGAGCAGACGCCTCGTCTGTTCTTGTTCGAGAGCGTATATTGCTTCTGTTGGTGTAAGGAACTATAACAAAGCCCGCAACGAGTAGAACTGACGCGGGGTTGAACAGAAAGACACACATCTGTGGAAAACAGCACTACCGGTGGTTTGTTGACAATCATTCCGATTTGTTAAACAAAGGCTGCGTCATCGGTCGACGTCACTGATTGGCCAAACTTCTGCTTCCACCAATCACCGGTCGGTATATAAGCTTCTTGCAATAATCTATGATTAAATGTGACAGTATATACGATATGATTGGTCCGCGACACGCGCCCCCATACAGTTATGTGGTACACACGATACCGCTCAGCCGTTGAGTGGTCACTCATTTTGCAACGGAATCCTTCCGACGAAGAAGTCTTGAAGCTGCTAATATGATCGCTCGCACTGCTCTCAAGCGCTCTCTGGGCGTGTTTTCCCGCCCGGCCGCCAATGTGGCTGCCCCTGCCTTCGGACAGTCCCGCATGTACCACGAGAACGTGATTGATCACTACGAGAACCCGCGCAATGTTGGTGCCATGGACAAGAACGCCAAGGACGTCGGCACTGGTCTCGTGGGCGCCCCTGCTTGCGGCGATGTGATGAAGCTGCAGATCCAGGTGGATGAGAACGGAACGATTGTGGACTCTAAGTTCAAGACTTTTGGTTGTGGCTCGGCCATCGCGTCTTCGTCGGTGGCCACCGAGTGGCTCAAGGGCAAGTCGGTGGAGGATTGCCTCAAGATCAAGAACACGGACATCGCATCGCACCTGAAACTGCCGCCCGTCAAGCTGCACTGCAGCATGCTGGCAGAGGACGCCATCAAGGCCGCTATCTCGGACTACAAGCGCAAGCAGACCGCATCGGCCTAAGATGGCACAGTAAAGCAACAGTCTTGTCGCCGCCATGCTCACCGATATGCTCATTGAGGGCAGAAAAAATCAAGTGATGGTGATAAATTGGCGCTCAGCCTGGGCGCAGCTTGGCTCACGTTGAGAAGACAGGTCAAAGAAAAGCATACAGTATTGCAGGAGACCGAGAAAGCTGTGAAATAATCAGTTGCTAATTTATTGCGTGCCACCAGCTAAGCATGTGCTTTGTTTGCTCTCATGTTCATTTTGCTGTTTGCTACAGCTTGCCAGAAGCGTGAGGATGGTTCAGGAGTAACAGCTTGGCAAGTTGTGCTCCCAGTATTGAAAGGCTTAACAATCACAGCAAGCCCGGCGGATGCACCAAATGCTACGTCATCTGCAACAAATACTGCCGTGTAGACAATATACTAATAGTATTGATGTGACGGTGGATCCCATGTGGGATGAATAGAAAGATGTAGGGCTGTTTTGTGTAGTGCACGAAATTCACGAAAAGATTTGGTGCAGATTTTCTTGCAGATGCATTTTACTATATTTCGAAGATAGACCTGGGTAATTAGAGCCTTCGTCGAGACCTTAAGAATATTGAACACCTGATCCACCTGGCTCGCGATGACTTAAATCCTTTTCGTACTATTCCTACCTACTATCTCTATTAAATTATTTTCCATCGTTTAAAATAATTTAATAGAGATAGTAGGTAGGAATAGTACGAAAAGGATTTAAGTAAAACAAACTTTAGCTGTATTAGTCAGGGCTGCCAAAAAATAAATTGATGCTGCAATTATTGCAATAAATTTGGACCGATAATTTATTTAGTAACCTTAACAGCTACCTAACAGTTATCTATTTAGCTGAACCTCTTGACTTCAATAATGTATTAAAGTTTTCCACAACCACCAATAACAATTTTCGTGGAGCCCCCAGCACTCCCCACTTTCAAATTCACCTGAAGCCCAAGACACTTACTGCCCAGCATGCTTACTACATCTCGCACGCAGCGTCCCGCCACCTTCACCAACAGGCAGGTGGCGAACTTCTACTTCCGGCCGTGCCGTGATCAGTACGACGAGGTAATCCTCGAGTACTTTCGCTGTCGGTGCGGCGCGGTCCGGAAGCGTGCCCCTGGTTCGAGGTACACGAACCTGATGCAGTGGCCCTCCCCCTCACCATCACCACTCAGTCTGTTGTTATCAGGCGTGAGCACCCCTCGTTTGCTGCGGAGATGCTGGCTGCAACCCCGGGAGAGACTGGGTCTCTCCTGCATTACGTCCGCCACTCCGCACTGAACACGTTCGGATGGCTGGAGTGGATCGTCCTGGGCAACTTGCCCCTCTCATTCTGTGAGAGCAGGCTTTCACGGCGGTACGTTTAAAATTAACTATGTATTAGTGCTCTCAGAACTACTGACTAACCTACTACTACAATTTGCAATATATTATCAGATACACGAACCTGGAGCCCATCTCGGTGGAAACGCTCCGAGGTTCCCTGGAATCGGTGACACGCTCCGTCGAGCGTGCGATCGCTGCCGATTTACCTGAGCGTTTCGGTATCATTTTTGACGGGTAGAGCCATGCTTCAGAGCATTTCATCGCCGTCTTTGCGTGGTATGAGGTAGACGAGGCGATTCGCTGCCCGCTCCTCAGCATGGCTCCACTCGTCAATGAGGAGACCGACGATTTGTCGGCCGCAACGCACCAGGCCTTTCTGCGCACGATGCTGTTGCGAGACTACAACAAGAGGCTGGAGCAGTGTGTCTTCCTCGTGGGAGACAACTGCTCCGTCAACCGCCGGTTCGCCACCCTCATGGGTGTTCCACTAGTCGGCTGTGCTAGTCGCCGCCTAAACCGAGCGGTAGCTGCAGAGCTGAGCGAGCATGCTGAAGATCTGGACCTGGTACAGACCCTGATGCTGAAGCTACGGACGTTGACACAATCCGCGAAACTACGGTACGTTTGTGATGTTTGGTGAAATTTACTATTGGATTTGTGAAATTGTACTAAAATGTTGGTTTAATACAATAGGTTGAAGACAATCCTTCGACCAATCATCCGCCAGCAAACCCGCTGGGGCTCCACAGTTGCAATGCTTAATCGCTTTTTCGAGCTTCTTCCCTTTTTGGACACCGACGACGACGAGCTCGCAGAGCTACTGCCCTCGCCGGCGGCGAAGAGGCGTCTGAAGGATCTTCTCGGTGAGCTGAAGGACGTCGAGTCCGTATCCAAGGCGTTGCAGGGCAGTGACGTCAGTCTACTTGATGTGCGAGTGTGGTTCGACGCTCTCATCGCAAAGAAGGAGTCGTATTCCAACTACCTATATACAAACGGGGATTTTGTGATTTTAATTATTTTGTCCAGTTAATTTACATCGTTGTTTTTTGCATGTAGCCCCAAGAGCTGAAATTGTCCACAGCCCAGACTTTGAGTCGGGCTGTGTCCGGGTGCTGAAGGGTCAAGGGCAGCGCTTAACCCGGAGTGAAAAGTCGGCGCTGGAGGCTTTTCGCGTCATCCCAGCCGCGCAAGCTGCGCGTGTGGGGGATGATGCAGAGACCGGAGGCTCATTCGTGGAGCGCTTCCAAAAGCGCCGCCGCCTGGAACAGCGCCAACCAGCTTACGAGCTGCTAGGTCGGATTCCTCCGACCTCGAACCTTGCCGAGCGCTTCTTCAGTGTCGCTCGCAATACGTTCGGGCTGCAACGACACTCGCTGCAGCCGTACACGCTTGAGATGCTGCTCTTTTTGCGCCAGAATGAGATCTTCTGGGACGCCCGTACCGTCGAAAATTCGGAGTAGGTGGTGGAATAATTGATCAATGAAGCTGCATTGTATCGATTATCTATTTCATTGTTTGTCTTAGTGCAATAATCTATCGTTCATGTTAAGTAGCTGATGGCGGTTATCTATTCTCTCTTGGTAGGTGCAGTAGATTACAATACAATTTTCGGCAGCCCTGGTACTAGTGTCGATTGACCTTTTTTTTTTTTTTCAAAAAAAAGAATCGTGCAAGCATACAAATACCCTGTTACCTCGAAGAACCCATCAAACACTGCAACGTCTGAGCTGAATTCACTGATGGTGCACTCAATACATCAATCTTCTTGTTCTTATCATTTTAGACGGGTATGAGCTTCCAATAAATTCTTCGTGCAACATTCAATACTAAAACACGCGTACTTAACCGGGAGGGCGTAACATTTGTTTAGTTTATTAACGAAGCACAGGCATCAATATTGGTAACCACTGAATAACTTTACTAAATGAGTGTAAGCCCCCCCCCCCTCCCTCCCCTTCAATCTGAAATATATAATTGAATAAATCATGTGGATGTGATATGCTAACACTAGTATTACAATTGAGTCAAAGCTCTAGATTACTATATCAGTAGTATTATACTAGTTCTAGAGTACTATTGGCTACCAATAACACCGTACAGTATCTGCCACCTACTAGGTCTTGACCGCGTCTGGCGACGAGGAGTCGCTTACCTTTATGTAAGTCAAGGTATTTCAAAAGTATTTATATCCACGTAGAACACTACTAAATGTAATAACAGCAGAAGCTCGAGAGCCGCTCGTTGAGAGCTTCTAACAAACAATGCTTCCTTTTGTATTACTTTTATACTAATACTGCTTTTTTGTCCTCATTATCGCAGTCACAAGGCACACCGAGGACAAGGTAAAATAAGCACGGCTGACAATCTCTCTGTAAACGCGTCAAATGCGCAGGAACTCCAGCGTGCTGTATGGTAAATGTAATGACTCGCCACGTCGCAACTAGACAAGAAAACACAACCAAGCAGTACAAGAAAACAAGCAAGATGATCTTTGTAAGTGGTGTGGTGGCAATAATTTTCTGGATGGATCATTAGTTTGCAAACCCAAGCTTGTG